TTTGCTTTTCTCAACATGTTGACCAAGCAGTCTGAAATGGGAGAGTGGAATTTTTTTTTTTTTAAAACACCACGAGGTGTACTTGTAAATTCAATAGTTGTAAATACAGCAAAAGGTTAAAAAGCAGTTGGCTTATAGCCCGTTGAGTTAACTTCTAAAGCTTCCAGTAAGCAGGCAGCATTACCGCGTTGCAGTGCAATGCCGAGTCTTTGTTTGAGGAACGTGAATGACCTTTTCTCACCAGTGGTCGTCTTGATTCTATAGGAAATAGAGGATAGAGTTTTGTATGTCGAGCTTCCGATGCCACCAAGATGTTCCACGGCGATGGGCTCGAACATGCAGTTGCGTGGCAGACCAGAATAGTGTTGGCGCTTACGAAATTCAGCATGGTTAGCAACAGTGGGACCATCTTCGAGGCCTGTTGATAGATTTGACTGTGCTTGTCGGTTTACACAGGTAAAGTCCCAGACTAAAACTGCGCCATTTTTCCATGGGACTAAAGTAGCACCGTCTGGTCTTTTACCATCGTCACGCAGCATACCGGTCGGCTCGAGTTTGCTGTGTACTCCTGCTGATTTCAACGCGTCTCTGATGACTTCATTACCAAGTTGATGCCTGATGAAACGACTTTTGATTTTCGGGCATATAAGTGGATGAATGCCTTGGCTGTCGCATTTAGTGCCACATGCACAGTTGCATGAAAAAAGAAGGGGGGCACCAAGGCGAAGTCCCGTAGCAATTCTGAAAGCGTCATCAGTCAGCTGGAGACCGAGCGTATCAGACGGAATAGCAGCAAGCCAGTCTCCGGAACCGGGAACAGAGCATCCTTGTAAACGAACTTTGTCACTGTCACAGGTGGTGTTAGCTAGGAGAGACGACCGCCTACGAGAAACAATCGGAGTGTACCAGCTTTTCTGCCACTTTTGCTTGTCTTCCAGTGGCATATCAGGAGAAACAGTTTCAGACCACAGTTCAATGGCATTCTTGAAGGACTTGCTGGTGTATTGAGACGCAATGACTTTGAAGACGTCTTCACTGGTGGCGAGTGTAGACGAAATATAGGCAGCCAAAGTAAGGTCCGAAGGTGACTGTAAGCCTAGACCACCGAGTTTGATAGGCAATGTGAGCTGATCCCATTCTCTGTTGGTAATCAGAATGTTACTGACAGTTTGAACAGCTCCACGGATATAAGAGGTGATTTTTTCAACAGAGTTCATAAAAACAAAAGTAGGAGCAGTGCGGAACAAATACATGAGCTTAGGCATGGCAAAACAATGTCGGAGCAGGAAAAACGCGACGTGTGAAGGCAGTAACGGAACATTCTTGCAGAGGTTTTCGATTTTCTCTCTCTTCTCTTCCAATGCATGCTGTAAAGCTGTATGGCCCAGAGGGCTTTCTAGCAGTTCAGCGTCTTCGGTGCTCACGCTGCTGATACCAGGACAGACACGTCTGAATTCACGTAAAATCATATCGCTCTTTTGCTGGTCTTGTGTGAAGACAGTGATTTCACATTTGGTGTTATTGAGGTTTAACCCGAGACCTTTGGCACTGTCAATGAACTTGGCGAGGTCACGCAAAACTATCTGCCACTTGTCTCCAGCACTGATGTCGTCCATGTAACCGACCTTGAACTTGGATGAGATTGCAGTGAGACAGCGATGCACTCCGAGACAGAAACCAAAAGACGCAATTGGGTCCCCCTGTTGGAAACCTTCTCTCGATAGCAAAGTGTGGTCACCATAAACAAGGAAACTCTCCCGCTCGTAGCACATGTTGAAAAAAGGCAAAAGCTCAGGGCAAAACTCTTCGAAAGCAAAAGCAATACTGTCACGACGCATGGTGTTGAAAGCATTGCTGAAATCCAACTTGAGGAAAACGTCATCGTCTGAAGCTAACTCGAAGAAGGAGCGAGCAGCATGGACCGCAACTTCGGCACCATTTTTCGCACCAGCACCAAGTTGAAAGGGACTGAAAAACTCCTTGAACCTCGCTGTTTCGTACTGACCAGCACATTTACCTGCAATCCTGCGCCAGACTTCTCCTACAGCAATGGGCCTCAGGTCATCTACTTTTCCTTTTTTGGCAAGCGTCGTCAAGTTGGCTGCCGCAAAAACTGGTCTAATGAAATCTGGGGCTTTGCCAGCAAGCATCAAATTGACAAAATCCGTAAGAGTGTCCAGGAACGTGTTGCCTGCGTCGATGGAATGTGAAGAAAGGGCGTCTTTGATATGTTGCGGTCGGACACCACTGGGTCCACCTGCTGAGCCATTGGGGAAACTCTGGATAGCGCTGTGAACTGCAGAACTAGTCACTTGCAGGGGTTCATACTGGTGGCACTGTGGGAATGACTGTCTGTCCAGTGCAGGAGGAGGATGCTTTTTCTCCAGGATTTTGACACTTTTGTCACTTGGGGGGACAACAGACTTATCCGAGGAAGCTATTCTAACGGCAGCTTTGATGTTCCCCTCATTAATCTTTTCACAAACAAGCCTTGCAAGTTTTTCTGCATCTGTGTTTTTCCCTGCAGAAGGACTACGGTGGGCCGGCTCAGGAATAATGAGGGTATCTGCTACGCTAAAAGCATCGATTTGTCGCTTTATCAATGTTGTTAAACTGGTCTTCTTAACACACCCGGCGCGTGCGGGAGCTTTCAGGCATCTGGACGCAGCCGTGAAAAGTTGAACCCACGCCATTTTATTGTCAGGGTCGTTGAGGATATCTCGCAAAACCTTGCTAAGAGTTTGTGCAAAAAGAAACCTTGCAGCTTTTGGCACATACTTGACAGTTTTGCACTGGAAAGCTCTCACCGCTTTGATGAAATCCTGAGAAGTGAAAGAGTGGGGGTCTGTAGCAGTTGCACTGTGATCACGTTCTTCAGATGGGGATTTGTTGGAATACGGGCACCGACTTCCCACTGGTCCATGGACGCGTAGAGAACCATTCTTCTGAACCACAATAGACATGCTACATCCAGGACAGTTTATGCGTTTGGTGTCTTTGCGTCGGCAGTTTGGGCAGCTGTAGTTGTATAAGCTGGCATTCTCTAATGGTAGCCCAGCACAGATCGAGTGAGACCAGGAGTTGCATTCGTCACACTGTACCCAGTCTCGAGATTGATCACCGCTTGCTTGGCACGGTCTGTGTGAGCAGGACGTATCCGCATCGTCAGTCTGGGGGCTACCACGGTTGCCCCTCCTGCTTCTACGCATTTCTCCTGAAGCTATTTAATAAGTTTATCACAACAATTAGGCTAAGTGGAAATCAAAAAACGCGTTTTGAAAAATTCAAATTAATGTAGAAAGAATATTTAAAACTATCGATATCTTTGAAGATAGCGAAAGAGAGCGTTTAATTTCGTAAATGCGGCAAAGGCTAATACCTACCTATGCATTATAAAAATTCGTATTATTTTAAATGTGAATTTAAGCGGGACAAAAATTAATCGAAGAGTTATTGTAGTAGCACAGTTCACAGCTATCACTAATCCGCTTCAATTGGCAAACGCGTAACTATTTGAGTAAATAATAAACTTCTGAGAGCGCGTCGCTATCTCCCAATGTCCCTAAGACAGCCGCCGCGTTTCCAACTTGAATCGCAATGGAGATGCGTTGTTTCATGTAAAATGACGATTTTGGTTCTTGAGTACTTTCGTTGAGTTTTCTACCCAGGGTCTTGAGAAATTTGAGCGTTTGTGGATCGCATCCGCCTTGGATCTCGAAAGCAACTGGGGCGAAAATGTATCCTCGATTTATTAAATCAGCGTATTTCGAGGTTTTACGGTTTTCGGCTTCAGAGGCAGCAGAGAATTGAGATGCAGTGCCAGAGGACAGACGGCTTGGTGCCAGGGCGTCGACAACAGTGGCATCCCATATGAGTGACTGACCTCACTCCCAAGGCACCAACGAGAGTCCATCTGGACGTTTCTGGTCTGCTGTGGACAGACCAGGAGGCTCGAGAACTGAAGGAATGTTGCTCGATCCTAAAGCTCGCTTCACTACATCGTTAATCATTGAGTGGCGCTGAAGCCTGCCGGCGCTTCTCCTGCACGAAAGACCGTGGCCTCCAAAAGTGTCGACGTGCTCACCGCAACGGCAGACGTGAGGCTCACATATGGGAACACCAAGACGAAGAGCGAGAGATATTCGGAGATGGATATTGGAAAGCTTGAGGCCCAAAGAACTTGACGGCAGGGCGGTGAGCCAAGCAGACTGTAGCTTACCCTCGAAAGACTTAAGGCGAATGCGAGATTTATTGTCAGGTGCGTCGGTGATCAGATTGTTAAGCTGGGTTCTGTATACGGGGTCAGAACAAGACTTCTGAAAGTTGTTCTCGTTCTTTTTAATTAAAAGAAATATTTCAAAATCAGCGAGCTTAAAAACGAAACTGAACTCCTACTGTGGATATGTAACCCCAATTGTGTCATATGGCTCACCCATATGGAAAGCAAATATGTGTGAATTAAAAATTATTGAAGATGTCCAAAGAAAAGCTACACGTTGGATACTGTCATGTAACAACATCAACTATAAAGACAGACTGATTAGATTAAACCTGCTTCCACTGTCTCTCTACCACGAAATGCACGACATTCTCTTGCTTCATAAAATAATAAACGACCAATACAACTTCCATTGGAGACAATTTGTTCAGTTCAAAGAATCTACAGCCCCAACAAGAACATCAACGAAAAATAACTTAGCGCATAAAAATTATCATTACGAAAAATTGAAAAGCAATTTCTGGCACAGAACACCTATACTAGCAAAAATTTTTTTACAGACTCAGGAAGAAGAAGACCTGTTTGCGATGAAATACGAAAGACTCAAATCAAGCCTCAAAAACGTTTTCTGGATATATTTCATCAGTAAATATGAGGAAAGTGTCCCATGCACATGGAGAACAAACTACTGCAATAGCTGTGTAAACTCAAAGAAACTATAAAACTCAGTTTAAAACTCCCAATGCGGGGCATTTTAGCCCCATGACTTTATGTCTAAATCCTAGTTTATTATTATTATTATTATAGTGGTGGAGCCAGAGAGCTCATACCATTGTGACAAGGCTCCTTCATACAATGGGTCTGAGAAAGGCATATTGAGGATTTCGGAACAGAGGCGTGAAGAACTGGCAACAGACGAGAGATACCCGCATACGGCAAGAACAGACGCAGATCCTAATCCGAGACCACCTAAAGCTGCGGGAAGGGACGCTTGCTTGCGGGCGTCAGTATCAAGTCTTATGTTGCAGATGCTCTCGAGGCTGAGGTAGAGGATGTCGTCGAATTTAGCTAAGAGTTCAGGGAAATTGAAACACGGAGAGGAGCGAAGGATATATAACAACTTCGGGATAGAAAACGAACTCTTCAAAAGAAAGAAAGCATGATGAGCCTCGATGTTTATCAGACGCAAACACATGCGCTCCAAATCAGCTATCTTGTCACTGAGAACATTGGAGATGGCAAGATTCCCTACAGGAGCCCCCAGGATTATCAAGTTGTCGATGCCCGTAGTTTTCATCAACGGGGAGATCTTGTTGAACTCTGACAAGATGAGCGACTTTTGTGTCTCCGATGAGTTGCCTAAAAAATACAGCTCGCACTTGTCGGGACGGACCTCGAGACCTAACTTGGCATTTTCGGAGATGATCATGCGGAAGTCGCGCAGGACGATGGCGTAATCTCCGCCTAAGTTTCCATCGTCTAGATACCACAGGTTTAACTCTGATTCTACTTTGTGGGTGATTTCGTTCACAGTATCACAGAAAATTGGCGGTGCCTCAGGGTCGCCTTGCTGACCACCTTCGTCTGAAGACAAAGCGGAATCACCGATGAAAAGATGTGATGCGGAGTCATAAGCTGCGTGCGTATAAGGATAAAGACCTGGATAACGCTCAAGGATCAGAGATAAAAACTTGTTCCGCGAGATGGAATTGAACGCATTCTTGACATCTATTTTGAGAATGACCTTGCCGCTACTTTCAGTATTGTCATGTATGTACATTCGCGTGGCATGAACTGAAGCCTCTGCTCCTCGAGGCGTGCCATAGCCTAGTTGACGGGCGCCGTATGACTCTTTTCTAGCAGTTGAGTAGGCGCGTCCACCACATTTGGAGGCCAATCTGCGGAAGACGTTTTCCACAGCAATGGGTCGAACTCCTCCAGTCTTCTTGCTCAGGACGAACAGATTAGCTCCAAACACAAACGGGCGAATGAGAACCGGGACTTTTCCTACCAGAACGATGTTGATAAAAGACGTGAGACTACTCAAGAAGGGCTGTGAGGCTTCTCCACGTTGACTGATCAGGTCTTTAAGAATCCGCGGAGTCACTCGATCAGGCCCAGCAGCAGAACCAGAAGGAAAAAGCTGAATGGCTTCGGAGACACTGGAGACGCGGCAAACAACCGGAGACTCTGAAGAAGGGACTGGAATGGAGGAGACAGCATTGGAACGCGGGGGATGTTTTTTCCTCAGCTCGTCCACAACAGCAGGGTCACTAGGATCCACCATTTCCTCATCTGAGGAGGCAACACGAATGGCGCCTTTGATGTCGGAGGCTTCTATCTTGACAGAGACGCGCTTGCTCAGCTCTTCAGACGGAGACTGCGTGGAAGGCTTAGGTTTCCTCGCTTTCTTTTGGGGCTTCTTCACCAGACTGGAAAGCACGAAACCGCTCATTGACCTTGGAAGCTAGTGACTGACTGTTATTATTATCCTTCTTGGTTACTGATAGGCATTTACCAATAAGAGTAAATAAACTGCACCAATGGGACAAAAGATCCGGCTGTGAAGCACGGGCTAAGTTGTTCCGTGAGGCTTTAGGAACACGTTTGAGGCAGTCAAGTCTATCAGAACAAAAAGCACGCAAGAGTTTTATGCACTGTGGTTCGTTGACAGAACTTACTACGTCGTACTCTGAGGTACCATGGTTCCTGCATTTGCTCCCGTTGACTTTGTGCACTCGTACCAGTCCAGCTTGAGTGAGTTGGACATTCACCTTGCATACTTTACAACGTCTGACAGGTACATCCGCTGCTTCACATGATCCGCATCGGAAAAACAGGAGATTGTTCGCTGCGTCCTCACTCTCGATGTTGACACATTTGCCGTGAAACCAGGAGTCGCAGGCATCGCAGCCAACCATGAAACCTTGCTCGTCTGGATTTCCACAGAAGCAGGATGTTGGTCGCTGGGATGCGATGCGCCCACGGGATTGAGTTGTCCGTGTCGATGCCATGTTGTGATATTCGTCAAGATTCAGCATGCCGTATTTATGGCTGGCTCGAGTGGGTTTTCGCTAGTATCCGAAATTGCCCAATTTGTATTTAACGCAATAGTCCTCGAAGCAGTCTATCTACTTGCCGTTGAAATTTTCCAATTGCTTGCATACATAATAAGCAGCATTTAAAATGCTCGATAAGATAACCTTTACGGCATGCAATAAGAACACCACCGTGGACACCGTCAAAGAGTCCAATGATTGTCAACTTGAGCAGATAAAACAGGTACAATTGCCGCAAATGTCACCGGGAGCATCGGAGACAGAGTGAGCATCTCCTCGATCGATTTCGTCTTGACATTGCGAGATATGAAACTATTTAATAAGTTTATCACAACAATTAGGCTAATAAGTTTATCACAACAATTGTAGTAGTAGTGGTAAAAGACTCAATTTCATGAAAAAAGAAAATACAACATTAAACATAACCGCCGTAGGGTTTTAAAATTTTACATCTGAATATTTTGAGAATGCGTTAAAATAGTAAATGCAAACTTTTGTGCATCTTCAGCTTTTAAAAATTCTAAACTATTTGTAAAAAATGATCAAAGATCATAAAAGGTTTCGTACATCATTATTTCAAAATTTAGAAAATTCAAACAATCAAAACTTTACAAATATTACTTAAATTATGTAACAACTATTATGTAAAAATTTTTATACAATTGTCACCTTTTTTGGTTTTAAAATTTCGCTTGGTGGCTAAATTTCATTCGAACATGTAAGTTATTTCAAAGTTTGTTTTTTTTAGCCAGAATTTTTCGATTCTGGAACTATAGCCTTAGTGTCAGCTCACACACTAAGGCTATAGTTTCAGATAGGAAACTATAGGGAAGCAAGGCGAGAGTTCGGTAAGAGCTCTTGATGATGTTGAATTACCAAATTGGGTGCAACAAGTGTTGGCATTAGGGCCGAAAAACCCCTTCAGGGATAAGTTTAAAACACACTTTCTCGCCGATATTGACATCTTTCAATCGGATCTCAAAAATCGTAAAGTCCCAAGGGAGGCCCCTTGTGAGATCAAAGCTGTGTGCCAGTCCATCATATTTGGAAGTTTGACCTGAGCAACGCAAAAGACATGATTTTGGGGTGAATGGAACTTTTCAAAAATTCGAATTGAGCAAATCATGCTCAAGTTTCTCGCGACAACTGAAAATATCAGAAAAAAAAGATCAGAAGAACCGAACTACAATCGCGGGAAAGCAGCTGAAAAGCAGCGGGAAATTGCTGTTCGCAGTTTCCAGACATAAGATCGTACGAGAGTAGAGCTGTCTTATTCTTAACAGAACGCAGAGTGATCGCAAGTGGAGAAGAAAACAAATAAGAAGTGGACCAGAGTGAACCTTCGGTGGAAAGGTGGACAACTGAAGTTGCCTAATGGTCCAGCGCCAAAAACTTACTTCTCAAGTCAAAACTTATTCATTTGAAACGCCTCGAGTTAGACTTGATTACCCCATTTATTCTAGAGTTACTTATTAATTTACTTACTCAATTCTAGAGTGTGCCGTTATGCGAGTACCCAATTTAAATTTCTTGAGTGTGTTTTATTTTGTTATGTTGAGGTAAGGAGAAATTTAGGTTGATCCCTCTGAAATGGATCAAAGTTCCACTGTTTTGTAAAAGTACCTATGCGGATTGTTCCGACCCTGTTTTTAACGGCGTCCGCGTGTTTTAGGTATTCTGAGACCTAAGTATGTGGACGTTCTTATTTTCTAGAGTGGGGGTATTTTGGTAGTGGCCTTTAGGCTGTAACAAGGGTTTTAGTCTCATGTCGCAAGTGAACCGAATTGGTTTTGACCGCTTGAGATAGAAAAACACAAGAGATAGTGTCCCTGACTCTTGAGCCAATGGTTATAGGGCCTGTTTTTCTTTAACCTCATATGTGACTTAAGTAGGCGACTGTTACACTGTTGCAAAAGCCTATGCTGAAAGGGTGAAACAAACACCATCTGACGAAAGCGTTGAGAAGGCCCGAAAGTATCTGATGAGTAATGGTTTAGTTGCGGTACCGTATGACAAGGGCGTGGGTTTTTGTGTAATGAGGAAGGACACCTACGAGAACAAGTTGTCGGATACATTAGACTCAATTCAATTCAAATGTGACTTAAATAGGTGACTGTAACATAGTGTTTTTATGGCGCTCCTGGGTGTTTTTATGGCGCTCCTGGGTGTTTTTACGACATCATGACTACGGGATCAAACCCACTTGACGCAACTACGGGCTACATGCCCAGTCTAGAGTACCGTTGGTGCGGTTCAACGGGAACGTATTCACCTTTTGGTTTTACCGCGTTAGCTTTTTTAAGAAAACTTGAGAAAATTTCGTGGTGCGCTTTCTGAACGAGGCCTAGCTAACCGAGTAGGGGGGGGGGTCACTAGGGGGGGAAAAACGAGTAAAAGACAAAAAGCAAAACAAAAACCAAAAAAAGAATAAAAACAGGAACAAAAAATCATAAAACATAAAAATTACAGTGGTTTTAAATTTCAGATTAGGTGGATTAAACCTTTAAATTAATTAAAATAGTATACCTATACTGTTTTCCAAAAAGACCGATCGTCTCGATCAAATCAGCAACGTTTTACAGGTGCCCAAGTGTGGGTTCGTTGTAGGGTTTTCAGAGAGTTTTTAGGTTATCAGCAGACCACTGGGAGACTTGGCTGGAAGAGGTTCTGAGCGAAGTGGGAAAGTGAATATACGAAGCATGACCACTGGGAGACTTGACTGGAACAGGTGACCAGCCCAGGGGGAAAGTGTAATCAACCGGCAGGTAATCAGCCAGCAGTGTGATCAAGGCAGAACAGAGCAAACAGAAGGGGTCGTACAGAGGTTCTGTTTGGTCAAACGGTTATCGTTAAAATCCACGTTACATTTTAGGAAATAGGTGTAAAAATTGCATAAGCGAATACCCACCGTTTTGAGGAAACGTTTTCACTTGAGCAGAGCTTGGAAACAGGTTCTACGGTTTACTCTCGAGAGGTTTAGCATCCATCGCGCTAAGGGTAATTTTTGGCTTAAGTGGGGGGCTAGATAGGGGGAAGGTTAGACGGGAGACTGGTTTAGATAGAGGTTGGCGGTTGCAAATTGTATAATGGGGGGAAACATTGTAGTAACTATACAATCGATATCGTCAACTTAATTACATTAGTAGACCCAGAGTCTGAAACGATTCATCTTTAGACCCAGAACAAGAGTTGCAACGCGAGGATATCCAAAATTAAGATCGAATTAAGGTAAGTAACCTGGTCAGATCGGGTGGGTGGATCGGAAATAGACAATTTTTGGAACTCTAAAGGAGAATACCTCATAAAATTGTTAGTTGGGGGAGAAAAACGCCTGCCAATCAGGTACCAGACATTTTTTTAATGAAAAGACGACATTGGTCGCCTTTGAATTTAGGGTGTACTCGTCTTTCTGTTTTTTATCATTTTTTCTCGCTTAGATTTTTTTACGTTTTCGGATCTATTTTTATCGGCTTTTGACGAATAGATGATCATAAAACACCTGCTTACAAGTCGTGTTTCGAATTGGATCGGATTAATAAAGGAAGATAAATTCAGGGGGGTAGTAGTTAAAACTTTTGGTTAGTAAGTTTGGGTTTTTGGGAAAATTTTTTTAATACTAGATCTCAAGTGGTGGTAACAGGGTTTGTGATCTAAGTGTCCCAACGCTGAAGAACAAGAGATCCGACTGTGCAAATCCGAAGAACAAGAGATCAAACTGTCCCAAAGAAGAAGAGATCCGACTGTCCCAACACTTGAGCAGGTAGTCTTGGGACAGCACGAAGTGTCCCAACACTTGGACGAAGGGTCTTGGGACAGTGCGAACTGTCCCAACACTTGAGTGGGAGGGTCTTGGGACAGTCTTGGGACTTGAATGGGAGGTCCTGGGACAGTGTGAAGCATCCGAACACTTGAGCGGGAAGTCTTGGGACAGTGCGAAGTCTCCGAACACTCGAACAGGGAGGTTTTGGGACACTGTGAATTGTCCCAACACTTCAGCAGGTAGTCTTGGGACAGCACGAAGTGTCCCAGCAATTGGACGAAGGGTCATGGGACGGTGCAAGGTGTCCAAACACTTGAGTGGAGGGTCTTGGGACAGTGCGAGGTGTCCCAACAATTGAACAGCTAGTCTTGGGACAGCACGAAGTGTCCCAACACTAGGACGAAAGGTCTTGGGACAGTGTGAAGTATCCCAACACTTGAGCAGGGGGTCTTGGGACAGTACGAGGTGTCGCCACACTTGAACGAAAGGTCTTGGGACAGTGTGAAGCGTCCCAACACTAGAACAAAGAGGTCTTGAGACGATGCGAGGTGTCCCAACACTTGAGCGTAGGGTCCTAGGAGGGTTAGAAGACGTCCTGGGATAGTGTGAAGTGTGCCAACACTTGAGTAAAAGCAC